AACCCTGAGACGGTGAGATTTGAACCGGCGAGCTGCAGAACCAGCAGTCAGCTGAAGTGGCTGCAGTACTGCACCCTAACTGCTGCGCCACCTCGGCTCTTTAGACAGACGGACAGACAGATATGGGTAGGTAGATAGGGAAAGATATGTGATATAGATAGATAAACAGAGATATATAGACGATAGATCATAGAGAAAGATACATAGTTAAGATTGATGATACTGTAGATAAGAGACAATAAATATATGGTAGATGATGAATTAAATTACTACTACTACTAAATTTAACCGTTTGTGTTAAGATACTTATTTAGGAGTTTCTTGCACAACAGTGGACATATGCAAGTAGTTATGGATGCAGCAGGGTGAGTTATTCCTATGCTCACTAGCAGAGATTCCTCACTTCCGCTTAGTCTCCATTAATGTTGCTTTTTTTTCTTCTGTTATCCCACCCAGCCCAGGAACCAGACTGTCCACAGACAGGGGTGATACAGGTAATCCTCGCGTTACGACCACAGTTGAGCCCAACATTTATGTTGCTAAGTGAGACAGTTGTTGAATTTTCTCCTCGATTTTACCACCGTTCCTGCCACAGTTGTTAAGTGAATCACTGCAATTGTTAAGTGAGTAACATAAGTGAATCTGGCTTTCCCACTGATTTTCCTTATCAGAAGTTCACAAAAGGGATCACGCAACCTCAGGACACTGCCGCCGTCGTAAATATGAGACGGTTGCCACGCAACTAAAGTTTGATCACGTGACTCGCTGAGATGCCGCTGCAAGAGTCATGTAAAAAAACACCAGTCACATTCTTTTTCCAGGGCCATTGTAACTTCGAATGGTCACTAAACGGAGTATATATTGTTAGTCGAGGACCACCTGTATTGTTAGTCCTTTCCTCTCTATCGCTCTGGACTACGACTCCCAGAAGCCTCGTGGCCCGCCTGGATCAAGCCGGAAGCGCCTCGCCGCTCCGCGCAGGCGCCCTCCCGCGCGGGAGGCCGCCTTCCGCCCTTCCCCGCCCACGCCGGCCCGCCCGCCTCGGCGCAGGCGCAGACCGGGGGGCGGGCAAATGGCGGCGGCCGCGGCGGCGGCAGCTGAGGGCGGCTGCTCCGGTGGCGGCGGAGGCTCCGCGACGCTCATGCCGGGGGCAGCAGCGGCGAGCGGGAGCCTGGCTGCGGGGGGCTGCGGCGCGGCGGGCCCGTCGTCGTGGACGCGCTCGCTGGAGCGGTCGCTGGAGGAGGCGGCGGCCAGCGGCGCCCTCAGCCTCAGCGGCAGGAAGCTGAGGGACTATCCGCGGGGCAGCGCGGCCNTCCTGCCCTCAGGTGCTTTGCAAAATAGCTTAACTCCCTCTTCTTTGTGGCAGCCCCTGAGATATTGGAAGACTGCTATCATGTCTCCCCTAGTCCTCCTTTTCATTAAACTAGACATACCCAGTTCCTGCAACCGTTCTTCATATGTTTTAGCCTCCAGCCCCTTAATCCTCTTTGTTGCTCTTCTCTGCACTCTTTCCAGAGTCTCCACATCTTTTCTACATCTTGGCGACCAAAACTGGACGCTGTATTGCAAGTGTGGCCTTACCAAGGCATTATAAAGTGGTATTAACACTTCACGTGATCTTGATTCCATCCCTCTGTTGATGCAGTCTAGAGCTGTGTTGGCTTTTTTGGCAGCTTCTGCGCACACGGCTGGCTCATATTTAAATGGTTATCCACTAGGATTCCATTGATTGGAGTTGATGTTGATGCTGCTATCTTTGCTTGAACAAGGAAAATTCCAGACCGAGGAAAACTTTACAGAAATGAATCCCCTATTCAAATAAAAACAAAGAAAAACAGTATAGCTAAGTGTATAGCTAAAAATCTTTAAAAGATGATTTGATTTTTTTCTACTGTCCTGTAAACGAGAAAAGATTGTGGGGCAAGTGGTACCGTTTATATGGGAATAGCTAAATCGCCAAAATAAAGGTTTTAAGTTAATTATCTTGAAAGGGGAAAGTGTGATTTGAGAAAATTCTAGACTTTTATCTGCGCTGTCACATCCCTTAACTACATCACAAAAAAGGCTTCCAGAAGAAATGTGTGAGTAGGGAAATATGGATGAAATATCTTCTATTCCACCAGTGGTCAGGTCTTTACTTCCTAATTCAATTTATGACAGAGAAGTTTATATTTTTCAAATAATGTGACAGACTTCACAATGGCAAACTGTCTTATAGCTGCCCACATTGGTTGAATCCAGTCCTTATGGTTTCCTTCAATATGACAACATTAAACAAAGATGTAGTTTCCAGCAATGTGTCAGTCCAAAAGTTAGCTTTTGGGAAGAAAGATTATTTTACGTTCATTTCTTTCTGATGCCAGTTGGTGTCACTGGTGATTCATCTTAGGGCATAAATCTTAAATACCAGTGTTGAACTGATGACAATGATTTTTTCTTGCAACTTGCCTTGATAAAATTTATTTTCATTGAATTATGGTATATCTCAAGTTTGGTTCTTCAGATGCTATTAGTTTGGTCTTCCCATCATTATGGTTGTCCCATAACCAGCATGGTTACAGTGATTGGAATTAGAATTTGGTGAGAGGGGCAGCAAATAAATTTAATAAATCTCTAAAAAACCACTTGTCAGTCTACTCTGTACATATGTATATATANACAAAATCAAAATGTGATTTCTCCCGCAGAGTTCTTCAGCCCAACCAAGGTCAAAACGCTCCTATCCAGCGGCTGCTCTCCAGACAAGGGTAAGGCCGAGCCTCTCGTGCACGGGTCTTTGGGGAAATAACCTTTTTTTTTGTGTTATACCTTGGATGCAGGTGACTTATTACCTCCTTTTATGTTCAATCAGACCCTCTAAGGCCTCAGTGAAAGGGGCTGAGCCCAATAGAAAGAAACCCCCAGACCACAGAGGGCCTAGCAAGGCCTTTCCAGGTGTGTACACAGAACCGGGTGCTGGGATCCCTCGTGTTAAGAAGGATGCTTTCTGCAGAAGAAGCTGAAGCGGCAGATCATTTCTTCCCTCTCGGTGCAGCCGGGCTTGGCTCTCACGGCGCTATACTAACCCCTCACTGGGAATGGCCTCACAACACGGGTTGCGAAAGTTGTGATCGCTGATTGCATGACGAGGCGGCTCCCTTTCACTCGGGTTCCACCCCATTATTAATCTGAGCAAAGCTTCCGAAACTCAGCAGGTGGCTTATTAACTCTTTGTTTCCCTGAAAATAAGACCTCCCCGGATAATAAGCCCAATTGGGCTTTTGAGCTATGCACTAAAATACGACAAAAGCGTGCCGACAAGACCGCGTCACTAAAACCACGATGTCATCAACGCGCCGACAACCGCGTCGACAGAAGCGCGATTTAAGTTAAGGTAAGGGTTAGGTTTAGGGTTAGCGTTAGGGTTAGGTTTAGGTTTACAGCACGCTTCTGTCGGCGCTGTTGTTGGCGCGATTCAGCGCTCATTCGTCAGTGCGGTTTAGAACTCGCGGTTTCGTCACTGCGGTTTAGCTGGGCGCGCTTTTGTCGGTGAACCCTAAAATAAGCCCTCCTCCAAAATATTGCCACACAGCAGCAGCCATGAGGTGACCATGTTCGCCGCCACCTGCACTTCAAAAATAATAAGACCTCCCCGAAAAAAAGGCCAAGTGCTTATTTCGGGGGTCAAAAGAAAATAAGACCCTCTCTTATTTTCGGGGAAAACACAGTATTTACATTTTTTTTTAGTTGCAGTTTTGTTTTGTGGATAACAACTGATGCCTGAACATTGGGGGGGGGGGGTTGTGTGTGTTTTAACTAAAACTTCCTGGCTGGAACACTTAACCTGTTTCTCACACGATTGTGCATGTTCGTGCCACATACATAAATCATATGTATATAATATGATGAGGGGAAATGGGTGGCCTTAGAAGAGCTTGGATACTAATCGTGCTGTGCATGGGGACCTTTCTTTTTGAGGAGATACAAAGGGTTTCAGAAAAGCTAACATTAATTTAGAATAAAAGGCAGAAAGGGTTCACAGGTATTCCTCAACTTAGTGTTCTGACTGAGGCTTCCCAAGAGCCTGAAGCCAACTCCTGATCCCGACAAAAATCACTTTGATTAATTGACTGTGAATTCTGCTCATTCACATCCAGCAAAGTCTTTCGAGGGAGCATTTACAGTCACAGACCTTCTCTGGCTTGGAGAGCTGCCAGGCTGATATCTGCAAGGAGTCTCGGAGAGTCACGAACCAATGAAGCGAACTAATTGTCTCCTGCAAGCTCCACTCCCCTTTTGCTCCTCTTTTATTTCCTCTGGAAGTGGCCATTCATCATCCACCTGTAGCTTTACTCCCTGTTCTTTAGCTGTTCCTTTCGTCTGGCAACTCTGCGCATGTGCACACTGGGAACAGGCTCCAGCTGTTCCTCTGCCTCACTGATGTCTGACTCTGAAGGCAGCTGATAACTGGCATATGGCCCTGGCCCCCTCTCTGCCTCCGACCCAGAGCCCTCATCAGAGCCTTCCCCAGACTCCAGGACTCATGGGTTGAAAAGCAGTGTGTGTGTGTGCGTGTCTCCTATTCTGGTTTATTTAATAAGCCATGATTTATTACAGTTTATTTTTATTGTTAGTTGTGAAGTCATGTCTGACCCATTGCGACCCCATGGACAACGTTCCTCTAGGCCTTCTTGTCCTCTACCATCCTCTGGAGTCCATTCAGGCTCATGCCGATTGCTTCGGTGACTCCATCCAGCCACCTCCTTCTCTGTCGTCCCTTTCTTCTTTTGCCCTCCATCGTTCCCAGCATGAGGCTCTTCTCCAGGGAGTCCTTCTTCCTTCTCATTAGGTGGCCAAAGTCTTTGAGTTTCCTCTTCAGGATCTGGCCTTCTCAAGAGCAGTCAGGGTTGATCTCCTCTAGGACTGACCGGTTGGATGGCCTTGCAGTCCAAGGGACTCAATGCAGGAGTCTTCTTCTCCAGCACCAGAGTTCAAAGGCCTCCATTCTTTGGCGCTCAGCCTTCCTTAGGGTCCAACCTTCACAGCCATCCATTGCAACAGGGAAAACCATAGCTTTGATTATGCACACTTTTGTTGGCAGGGTGATGTCGCTGCTTTTTAGTAATCTCCACATAGTTTGTCTAGAATGATCACAATGATTTTTTCCAACGTGAATTGTTCTGACAAAATAATTTAAAATCTGCCAGGTGTATTTGCTGTATAAACCCATGGGCTACAGACAGAATTTTAACATAGGCCTGCTGAGTTTCTTAGAAGTTCAGGCATTTAAACCTCCCAAGCCTGCTTAAGCTGTGCCATTATTTATTTCTGTACACAGTTTGACTCTTTATGGTGTTCCTCTACTAAGCTGCCCTTCAGAACAAAAGTTCCATTTGCGTCTGCTTTATAACTGCTTGCTTGGGACAAATTTGTTGGCCTTTTAAGCTCGTTCCCTTTTAATAAACAAGACCGAGTTAGTTCTGATTTTTGCTTTCAGGAGTATCTGCCAGAAGAATCCCAAGAAAGAAGCCAAATGTTGCGACAACCTAAGGCGGCAGCATTCCCTCGGCTAAGGAAGTGGCTTAAGCATTGTCTTTCAGTGTTCTCCAGATGCTCCTTCAAGGAACACGGGTCGAGGAGAGGTCTGTGCGTGGTCGTGTTCAAGAGACTTAGAAGACTCTGGAACGGAAATGAATGAATGAAGGCGAAGGGAATACGAATGTGAATATGAAAGCAACTCTTCCATTTGAGTTCTGGGTTTTGTGCTTTGCTTACTCCTTCGAGTAGATATTTTCAAGGGGATTCTTCAAGCAACCTTCTAAACCAGGGCTGCATTTTTCAATTGTGCAATAAATAACCCCGAAGTGTGATTGCTTTAGACGTCCTGCATTCCTGCTTCCCTCTGTCACGCTTTGGGGTGGGGTGGGGTTCAAAGCACTTCTGAAAAGGAAATTTTGCTCTTGGCTCTCTGGATCGCTTCCAAAAATGGCTGCACTTTTGGGTTACACAAAGCTTCTCTTGGCCACTTCAGTCCTCTGGAAATCAGGAGGGTCATAACGTTAAACATATGTTTCTTTAAGGCAGGGGTCTCCAATCTTGGCGACTTTTAAGACTTGTGGACTTCAACTCCTCGAATTCCTCAGCCAAAACTGCCTGAGGAATTCTGGCAGTTGAAGTCCACGAGCCTTAAAGTCGCCAAGGTTGGAGACCCCTGCTTTAAGGTTTCAGCAATGATGCTATGAATCACAGGGTATAAATATTGTGTTCACCCACCTCTTTTTTTTCTGGCTGAGGTCTTGTTTCTGAACATACTGTGTTGTTTATAACAGTGTTTCTCAACCTTGGTGACTTTAAGTCCCGTGGACTTCAACTCCCAGGATTCCCCCAGCCAGCTCTGCTGGCTGGGGGATTCTGGGAGTTGAAGTCCACGGGACTTAAAGTCACCAAGGTTGAGAAACACTGGTTTATAAGATACTATCAGACATGTTTTTCATACTAAGCGAACTAGAAACCTCCTCTTTAACAAATGATAACAACTACTGGCTATTTTGCAAAGCATTTGCCTCGTTTCTCTTTTTTTAAATCTAGATATCTGGTGGCATTCTTTATAAACAATATTTGAATAATGAATGGCCAGTGATAATAGTAAGTTGGACTAATATTATGCAACATATATTAGTCCAAGGTTACTTAGTTAACATTGGACTAATGGTAAATTGGACTAATATTGTCCACCTTTTCTCTTTCAACGTATAAAATGAAATTAACCGCAATCTTAATTTCACAGAAAAGCTGGATGAACAAAAACAATTTCAGAATACAAATTGTATTTATGTAAATATTGTTTTGGAGAGGGGGGGGAATGTGCAGTGGATTTTAATGTGGTTGTGAAAGATTGAAACAAGACCACGTTGGGAAATAAATTATTGTGTTGCTTTTAGCTTAGTAGTGCTTTATCCCAGTAGCATCTTGAGTCACAGTTAATGTCTAATGTTAATTTTACATGTTCAGGTGGTATTAATATTTTGCCAGTGATAGAGGTTTTAGAAGTTGTGTCACTGAAATCATTCCCACAAATTGAACAATTAAAAGGTTCAGCTGTAAAGAAAAATGGGGTTAACTTTATACATGGATACAATTACTTATACCGGGATGCTTATAAATTTATGTGCATCTTCTAATGCTTTTATTACATCATGCAATGTTTTAAAATCACATTTGGGCTGTCTTGATGCCAGTGTAAAAAAAAAAGTCAAGAATTATTGATAGAATGATAAGCCAAGCTTGCTGGGTTATCCTGGTTTATTGTAGACAAAAATCCCATATAGATGGAAAAACAAGTCAACAAAATAAAATTTTAAGCAACACTCAGCCCCAGCTTTCTCATCCTGACTAAACCAGGATGTATAAGCCATCCCCAACTTCACGACGAGCATTTGGTCAAACCAGCATCTGGTTTGAGCTTTGCACAAATCCTTTGTATTTCCGGCTTTCTTAACAAACATGCTTCTTTGCTTGTTTTACCTGCTTATATGAAGGGAGGTTTGAAGTAGGAATCCATGAACCGCAGAGGTTGGCTCTGCTTTCATGGTAAAAATGGACAAGCCACAAATTGCGATGTAATCAATCATGGTTTTAAAGATTGCCCATGGCTAATTTGAGGAGCATAATGCAAGTGCTTGTCCCGGAAATAATTTACCGCATTCTGGTTTTAAATCTATTTTCCAAGCTCTTGCCTGAGGTTCAGAAAACCTGAACTGAAGATTCACAAGCTGAGTTAAAAACTGTGGTTGTTACCTTGCATGTTAAGCTACAGTTTACATGTTGTGTCGATGCTAAAAGTAATCTGATTGTGTGCTGTGGAGTTAGACATAGGCTGCATGTAAATAGAAGCATGTTTTTAAGTACAAGTTCAGTAATTTAAGTGGACCTTTTGATATTTTAGCACAAAACTTTTTATTTATAAATTAACAGCCTATGGCCAGGAAGCCTTTTGTAACTTAATGTTTCCTATTTATTTATTCTCAATATTTGTTTGCCTTTTTTTGAGTGCAGTGCCATGCTATATTATAAGCCTTATTTTTATATATTGGTTTTCACTTGTCCTTTTTAAAAAAATCTCTTGGTATATTACACAATTAAACTTTTTTTTTTAAAAAAAAATCTCAGTATTTGTGTGCGTTCGTGCATATATACACTTTCTTCCTCAACCCGTTTCTGTGATGCTAAGGATAATTTTGGACGATGAAACCATGCAGACGTCACTTTTTAACTATAACACCTTCACATCTAGCTGCGAGACCGTGATCAGACAGGGAACATTTTTAAAAAACAAACACTTTAAATGGATTGCTTTGTACTTGCTGCTTATTGATTTTCTTCAGCTAGCAAAACAGGGACATCTTTTGATTCTGGAGTCAAACACTTTTGGGACTGCCCTACTAGTTCCATCAGCCAAGCAGCNCCAAAAAGGTTGCCCATCACTGCCCTAAACCTAACCCTTACTTTAAGTTAAATCGGCTTTCTTTCAACACACTATTTAAAGCGCCCTTCTTTCTCCGCGCTGGCTGTTGTTGCCGCGTTGATGATGTCAGCGATGCGATTTAGTCGGGCGCGGTTTTGTCGTTCGCCCTTTTGTTGGGTCACGGGTAAAATGTTTAGTCTTATAGTGGCACCATGTGGATTATACTTTAATTCATGATCTACTCTTTATAAGCTTGTTCAGAATTAGGCTTTGTCTAGCATTGAATGTTATTCTTCTCCATTGTCTAAAGTAACTATTCCTAGCTCACAGAGTGGTGGCTCACAGAGTTGAGCATCTCAACCCAAAATAGACAAGAACTGGTCTCTTACACAGGTTTGCCTGGTCTTGGAATAAGTGCCATTTTATTTGGAATAAGCGTGGAAAGGATTGGGCTGCAAATTTCTTACATGTGCTGTTTTATTCCTCAGGTTACTGAATCGAAGACAAAAAAATTGGGTCGTAAAGGAAGCACATCCTCTACCTCCTCCTCCTCCTCTAGTTCAATGCTGGACCCACTCAGCAGCGTCCTGGATGGCACAGATCCCTTATCCTTGTTTGCAGCTACTGCTGATCCACTGCTGACCATGACGATGGTAAGATCATTTCAGACCAGTTATGTAAGGGGGTGATGTTACTGCTGCCCCTGCATTCTGCAAAGGTGTGTGTTGTGTTCAAAATTCTTAGGTTATGTCTCCTGAGTCAGGAGGAACTCACAAAAGTCCTGGTCAACCCAACTGGAATGAATGTTCTTTAATGTCATCCTAGCCAAACAATGATGTCTCCATGATATCTCTTCTATATTTTCTAAGTTGCAGGCAAAGAACACAAACTCTTTAAATTAAAATTAACAGCAAGTAGAGAAAGAGATCTCCCGAGTGTCTCTTTTGGGTTCTCAGTGCATCATAATCAGGCTCTGAAGCTATCTGGATGAGAGTTCAATTGCCTCCACTTTTTGGGAAGCCAGCAAAAACATGTCTATGTTTAAATTCCTTATAGTGAAGACTACAGTGGATAGGGCCACCTCACACTTATGGGCTCCTCCCCAATGTTGTGGTCAGCATTCAATTTTGGAGGAACAGAAGGGAGAAAGTATTTTGTTATTCCATTTTAAGCTTCTTACACTATATTTTGGGAGTTTTCTGACTCAAAATGGTAGGAAATATGTCATTTTCAGTTCTGGTACTCAATGATGCCCTCAAAGGAATAGGAGACTGCAAAGAAGGTAAGCAGTTTAACGAGTCTTGCACGGAGCTCTCCATTGTGCTGAAGCCAAAGACTAGCCTTCATTTGTGCTTCTCTCAATAGGTAATCAAGAGCTGCCCTAAAAGGGCAGCTTTTGGGGCAGCTCGTCCACCTTTGGTCCCCACCTGTCACTCAGCTCTCACCTGTGGCTCCTAGTAGCTGTAGCATGCACAGTGGCCACACCCTTGGCAACAGCTTTGACAGGCTGGCCAAACTAGGTTGAGAGTAGCCGTTGTGTCACTGACCTTCGGTGAGATAGGGACTTGTCTATCCCAAGCATGTGAAGACAGATTCTGGCGGATTGAGCGGATAAAACCTACTAGAATAGGACAACGGTGATGAAGACGGTCTCTGCAAGCGATGTGGTACGCTAAGAGCATGGCAAGACACGAAAAATACTCTGGTAAACCACTACGCCCAGCCCATCTCCAACTGTCTTGACTCTTGTCCTGGTATTGGAGCAAGATGGAATCCGGGAAGAGAGAGTGAGGCTGACTCTGCGCTTCACTTTAATCCAATTCTCGCACAAGTCTTGACATCCCCCCCAATTAGATGTCAAGGACCTCTTCAAATATGATGACGAACATCATCATCAACCAATCTGTCTGCTTTTACGGGATAGCTGCTGGATTTGCCTGCAGTTAATTATGGGTTTTTAAATATACATTTCTGACAGTTTCATGCTTGTCAGTGGCTTTTATTCATTAAGTTAGTGAGGGTGTAATATTTAATATTATCCTCAGTTTAGCTAACAAAAGGCAGGTGTTTTAACATAAAAGCAGCATTGTTTGTTTATGTAAAAATGTTTTGCTGTTTTTTTATACTCCTTTGTAGGATAATGCCAGGAAGAAGCGAGATAAAGATGAGAGTTTGTCTGTGGGAAATGACTTTGAACCTTGGTCAAGCAAACGTGGTGAAATCCTGGCACGCTACACAACAAATGAGAAACTGTCCATAGTGAGTCCACTTTTAATCTTGTTTAAACATCACAAAGGTGTTGGGGATGCAAAAAAAAAAAAAAAAAAAAAACCTAAAGAGGGAAATCTAGTTATTGTAAAATAAAGGTAACATAAGAAGTCATGCTGAAAATTAGCATTGGGTCACATTTTCTCCTGACCTACTTTCTGGAACCTTTGGAGCTGCAAAACCATACTTTAAATTATAATTGGCTGGTTTACAAAATATAATGATTGAATTCCTAGGACATACCTATTTTGATAGGGACTGTTGGCCTTTGATTGTGTAACAGAACTGGACAGTTGGGAATTGCTAATTGAAACTGAACATCTGTTTCCTTTGCAGAATTTATACATGGGATCTGAAAAAGGTAAGCATTCACTTCCAAATATTTAACTTAAAGTTTTGCAGCTATTCTCTTTTCTATAAAACATGTTGCTTATTTGGAAAATTATTACAGACATGAAGGAACTTCCTCCTGAACTAACACCCTCTATTTTAATACACATGGAGTCTTCACACTATTAAAAAAAATCCAGAAGTTGGGCAATTGCGCATTTGTTTTCCAAACAAAGGATTCCAAGGGCTTTTATAAACCAGAAATTTGGCCCACAATGTTTAAAATACTGCCAATTACAAAAGTTTGAAATATACAGCAGAAAATGTCTACTCTAACTGCCTGTAATTGTTTTCTTCAGGTACTGTCAGAGCATAATTTATTCTTTAATTCAGTCCAAAGTTACTGTAGAACCTCCTGTATTGCATTGGATTGTATAATTTAAAGCATGTAATTATTTGCAGGAAAAGCCTCAACTCCTGGATCCGCCGTTTCAGAGAAAGTACGAACCAGACTAGAAGAATTGGATGATCTCGAAGAGGTGAGCAAAAATTCATGTTTAAGGCAAAGAAATGTCTGTCCTTTCTTTCAGCATCCTCTAGGATTTACACATAGTCTGTTGTGTTGGAAACTGAAACGAGAGCTTATGGTTCTGTAATTTGTCATAGATTTTTTTAAAATGCAGGCAATTCTCATTTTAAAACCACAATTGAGCCCAAAATCTCCATTACTAAGCAAGACAGTTAAGTAAATTTTACCCCATTCTACGACCTTTTTTGCCACAGTTGTTCAGTGAATCACTTTAGTTGTTAAGCTAGTAACACATTCAAGAGAATCAGGCTTCCCCATTGACTTTGCTTGTCAAAAGGTCGCAAAAGGGAATCCCATGACCCCAAGACATTGCGACTGTCATAAATATGAACCAGCTACCAGAATTTTGATCACATGACCATGGGCATGCTGCAATGGTCCTGTGTGTGAAAAAGGGCATTTTTTTTCCAGTGCTGTAGTAACTATGAACAGTCACTGAGCAAATGGTTGTAAGTTGAGGACCTACCTGTATGTTCTCCTAAGGTAAACCATGAGACAGAAATGCTTGTTGGAGGGGAAAGGAATTCTTTAGGAGCGAATAGGAGCGAATAGCTGGTTTGTACCATTCAGTCCAGCAATTCTGCATTTTCCAGGCTGTTCTCCCAAAGCGAGAGGAGACAGCTGTTGGAAAAAAAAAATAACTCACTCTTTGCACCGCTCATACTTTCTCAGGGTTCCCAAAAAGAATTGCTAAACTTAACCCAGCAAGACTACACGAACCGGATTGAAGAACTCAACCAATCCTTGAAGGATGCCTGGGCCTCCGATCAGAAAGTCAAAGCCCTTAAGATTGTTATCCAGGTGAGCCTAACGCTGATAAAGTAGGGTTGCAAATTGATGAAGAAGGATGCTTTTAACTTTTTCAGAGGAGTTCATGGCTGCTTCTGGGGTTTCCCCCTTTTCCTTTTGAGTGGACACGCTTGAGCAAGAAACTCAAGAAACTGGTGCTTTTCAGCATTTCTGTTTATAGGAAGTCCTCGAGTTACGAGCATAATGGAGCTGACCGTTACAGTCATAAGTGAGGAAATGGGTCACTTATGTGACCAATCTGATTTTAACAGTCTTTTTGGCAGCGATTGTTAAACGGATGTCGTGGTCATTAAACGAACCAAAATAAACTAGTTGGGTATTTTATTTACTTAAAGTATTGATACCTAAAAGGTTCATGGCAAGTGAGAATCCCTGACCAGAAGGAAAAGGGAAAGGAGGAAGAAAGAATTCTGCAGCAATTCTTAATACTTCCTGGTTACTGTATTGATTACTTAACACAGGAATCGCTGTGTTATCAATGGCTAAAGGGCTTAGATCTCTGTCCAAAGCTTCAGTCACTCCAGTAATTGCTCATGTGTAATTCAATTCACAACTTCATTATTTAGGATTTTAGGATTTTATTAGTATTTATAGGCCGCCCTTTTCCCT